AGCCCTCCCAGAGCGCGTAAAGCGTGTGGTCTACTGCTCTGCTCAAACGACTGACTCTCCCATAGGTCTGCCCTAGCACGAAGGTAGGAAGCCCGAATCGGCAAGCCTCTCTCGGATAGAGGGTCGGATGAGGCGGTCCGTATACCAAGCGGGTCCGACTCGCCCTTCCTCCCGAGAGTCGATCCAGTTGCCGATTAACAATCGCTCTGGCCAATAACTCGCGCTTCCACCAGCTCCTGCCCGCTCCTGCGAGTGTTAATCCTATCTCCAAATCATATGTTCTGTCGGCTATCAAATGTCCGACCCCTTCTAGATCATGAGTCCTACCGGATCGCTCGTCTCGTAGTATCGCCGTCCAAAGGAATAGCCCTTCTGCGAGCCACGTCCCCACGTGTCGTATCGGCACTCGCTCCGTACCTTCCAACGCCACATGAAGAGGTATGTCGTACCCAACCGCCGTCTCTCTGGGTCCCACAAGCTTTCTCACGTGGTACGATTCGGACCCTCGTGAGAGAACATATACTAACCAGGCCGCCGAGTCACTTCTCATCTCCTCTCCGGCTCTTGATCTGTAGAGCTCTAATCCCTCCGACGCACCCTATCTCTGGATGTTGCCGACTCTTCAGACAATTCTACCACTCAGATCCCGTACGGTTGAGTAGGTGCTATGCACTCTCCCGTCGGCTCCATGGTAGTAGATAGTAAACTCAGTGAACCTCTGGCCTCTCCGTATCTCCAGGGCATGCTCCGTCATGAGTCTCACTTGTTGCTCGACAATGTCTAACGCTTCTTCCTCCCAACCTCCTGTCCTATMCCGTCGCAGGGAAAGAGTCACCCTTAGTATATCCTGATCCGCCATACTCTCCACTACTCGCCGATATCAGTGACCAAAGCTGACTGCTCCTACGTCAGGACTGCTACTCCTATCCTGGGGAAATGGGCGTCCGAAGCGTCTGGCTCCTCCTCGACAATCTCATCCTCTGGGTCAATCCAGTCCGGCTCCCAGACGTTCTCGTCGTCCTCTCGCTCCCATCCTCCGTCGTCAAACTCGTCCTCGACGCCGTATGGGGCCTGTCCAATGCCTTGGTAGTATTGCGCCAACTGGTGTCCGTATATCAGAGGTCTCTCGGCGTCCTCAGCCCACCCGCTCTCCTCATCGTCTGAGAAAAGCCGCCCGATGCAGGTCACGTACTCGGGTCCTGCTCKGAGCTCTCGGTCTAGCCAATCCCAAACGCACGGCAACTGGGGCCACTCGTCGTCTATCGAGCGGATCAGCTCTATAAGCTGAACCCTCTCGTCTCCCCAGCGAAGTCTTCCGGTTGCGAGTGAATAATAGATGTAGGTTAAATCTGTAGTGCTTCTCGCCAGGATCTTCAGATCCTGATAGGCCAGGTATGTCTCCACCACTCCTCCAATGCCTCCAAAGACACTCTCTACCACGAACGCCGGCAATATCGCTCTCAGGCTCCTAACGCTGTACGGGAAAAACCCGTCCCGTGCTATCGCCAGTCCGCCCGAGATATCTAGAGGGGGGCGCCCGTGAAATAGAGTCAACGGGTCGCACGAGTCCTCCGCTCGGAAGGCAGCTACCTCCTCCTCTAGGTATCGTAACGCTCTGCTAACCGTCCCACTAGTCCCTGTCGTCACGAGACCCACTACAGCCTCCCTGATCGCAGCTGGCCCTAAATACAGGTAGGCCCT